ATATCACCCAACAAAGGGGAAGAGTGTAACGTTTACAAAAAAAAAAAACGACCAGCAAGACGATAATTAACAACCTACTAATCTAAACAATCCTATGTCTAGATTAAGGACGGGTGTTTCTATCATCTCCAACAAAACGCATCAAATGAAAACTGTTACGCTCCCTTTTCACCAAAAGCTTCAACTACAAAAGACTTTTACGAGACAACACTCCCTTAACCCTTCGGAGCCCTTCGCTAAAGGAACCTGATAAATAAGTCATTTCAAAAAAGAGTGTTAGGCTTACGCCTAGTGAGTTCAAAACGTGAGCAAATAAATCAGTAAACCACCATGCACGTAAAATATATATAAATGCATGACGTTACTCGGGGTGGAGTCAAACATCTGAAGATGACGGGGGAGAAACGATTTACCGTTAACTATGACTGAACACAAAGTAAGTCATAAATCAACGTTATAGAGCATCACTTACATGATCAATACCATCGACATCAACCAAACCAGTCATGTAGTCGGATGTGATCTAAGCTCTTTATCTCGGAAATTACACAATAATCGCAATGCCTATTTCCAAGTGGGCGTGAGAAAGGTGATTTGGAATTTACATAATGATCACAATGTCTAATTCCAACTTATACCAACCTTCACACAAAACAAATAAAACGACTATGCACACCTTTAGGTTCAATATATTCTAGTACGATACTTAAGTACGGTGCCAATAGCATCTTAGTACTCACTTATCATGATGGTTTCGTGTGTATCCTAGCTCAAGTGAGATATCCCCACTTGCCAATAAGAACTCCAAACTAAGGGCATGAGGGTTTTAGAGCTAAAAGGCCATCAACACAATGACAATGTGTATTTTACCAAGTGATTAAACCCTTTATTCGAACTCAATCTATTATCAATACAGAATTACCTAGTTCAACCTTTTGACCGAAAACCTTCATTTCAACTAAGTAGGTAAATGTATGAAGTTAAAGCATAAGGTAATTAGGTGCTTCGTATCTACAATGTAAGGTATCGATTAGGGAAATTAAGTTCAACTCACCTCGGAGGATTTATGAGAAACCCCAAGTCTTTGAACCTAAGATAGAAAAATAATCTGAGAATTACAAGGAACAGGACAGTCGCGGTTGCTGATGGCTGATTGCGAAAGAGAAACACAGCAGAAGCCTACTGTTTGGCGTTGCTGACGAAGGAACAACTCAACAGCGGCTACTGTTTTGCGAAACACAGCAGCGATCCGCTGCGAGAAAATGCACAACAGCGCCTGGCTGCTGTCTGGTGCGGCACAACAGCGACTGATGCTGCTGTCCGGTGAAGTCCGAGGCGCTGAGAGGTCGAGTGTGCAGACGCGGTCGAGGTCGACGCCAGCAGTTGCTGTTGCTGGTCTGAGGAGCGCATAATCGTAGACAACCTTGCTGTTGCTGTTGGGTGGTCTGAGAAACAACAAAAACAACGCAGTCCGCCTTGCTGATGTTGTGGGGTGGTCCGAGAAACAACAAAACTATGCAGACAGCCTTGCTGCTGCTGTTGGGTGGTCTGTGGAGCGACAGAAGGGCACATGCAGCGCCTGTGCTGTTGTTGGTCGTAACTCCGACGACGGCGGTCCGTCCTCTCTTCCTCCAAACAGCCGGCTCCAAGTGGGGTTCTCTCGATTATCAGCCAAGGAAAGGTTTTTCCCCCATATTTTAAGAATCACTTCCTTCCAACAGCCCTCATCTCTAACTTCCGTCTTAAACCCAAGATTCAAATGGAGGTTAAGGACCTCCATGGAAAGAAAGGAAATAGGGGTAGGATACCAAGGCTGCAGGTAAATCCCCCCCTCACCCTACATATTCAAAAGGAGGCCTCACTTGAATTTTATCAATATATATACAGGGTCAAGATCAAATGTTAACCAAAGTTTTTGTGTTATATTTGCAAACCATGTTAACCAATCACAATTCATTCTTCTATTAGATTTTTATTATGTTCACAATTTAATGTCGAGGGTAATTGAGTAATTTCATTTGCTATGTAACTCCCATACCATTAATGGGGAGTTACAAAATCATAAAATCCCTGAAAATATGAATTTATAATATGGATAGTTTTATTTTTTTTTAATCTTCATCATCCATTTTTATTGTTTTATGAGTTTTTGATTCGTGGAGAAAACACGGTAGTAAAATATTTGGTATTGTTCAAGCTATTATGGATAAACGCATTGGAAAAGAAATTGAGAAGATTGAGAAAATTAAAATGGTTTATGGTGACAATCAGAGTTCGTGTTCGGGAAGTGAAGAAATTAACCAAAGCGAATGTCTTGGTAATTGATTAATATTTTATTAGACTCGTTTTAATCGAAATTATGTTCATTATGATGTGTTGTGTTTTTTTGTAGTTCATATTGCGTTGATAACATTTTTCTTTAATTATTAATACGTCTCTAATTTACATGTTCAAATGGAAGTACATGCACGACCCATTTTCATATTGTMATATTACCGACTTTTATGAATCATGAACCATTGTGTTCATGTTACTTCTATCATATGAACACAAGTGTTATTTTTTAAGCTTGATACCAAATTTTATATTTGTGTTAGTGTTTGCACCCGGTGTTCATAGCGTCGAGGTTATCTGTTCATATATTTAATATGATATGAACAAGGGATGAACACGATATGAATAAGGGGTGAAGAACCACATAAGACCATAAACATATATGAACAAGAGGTGAACCTTAAACGGTGTGGATGCAATGCATATATAAAACTCCAATTGACAAAAGATCGCTCCTGATGTGTTCATAATGAATGAACTATTGTTTGCAAGCTATTCATATTGTGTTCATACCTGTTTTTTTATTTATTTCCTTTCGTATAGCAGTTATTCTTATTATGTTTATATTGTGTTCATAAATGCTATKTAGTCCAAGTTCATATATTTGTCAATTTTTTGTTCGTATTTGACACAATGGTTCATATATATATAGTTGTGTTCATATGGTTCTTACATTAACAAAAATAAATTTAAAAAAAATCATAGGATTTTTTGATTTTGTAACTCCCAATTAATGATATGGAAGTTACATAAAAAATTACCTAAATACCCTTTTCAACTTTGTTCACTTATCTTTATGAAATTTTAAATTTAAAAAAATAAGTTTTTATCATGATTAATCACAACCGTTTATTGAAAGATTGAATGGCCAAGATCAGTTAATAAAGTTAACACAAAAACTTTTGTTAATATTTGAACCTGACCCTATATATATATATATATATATATATATTCATTTCAAAGAAGGGCCTAAAAGAACTTATAAGGTGACTTAGGCTTTAAATCGGTAAATTAAAAAGCATACCTTAACACGGAATAAGGGAAGAATTTCGGGTGTTACACAACCCGATCAACCCAACCCAACCCAACGTGAAATAACTCAACCCGATGTCTAATCGAGTTGTAAAATTGTCAAACCGTAGGTATTGAGTTACTATTATTTGAATCCAACCCAACCCGATATCCTTTTACTTATTGGATTTAATATGATTGTTGAATTTCTATTAATATATACATTAGACAATTACATATCATGTATGCTTTTATTATAAGTAGAGAAATAACATATTCAATGTTAGAAGAATATTTTAATGTACCAAAGTATCAACCCGACTAACCCGTACGGGTTGGATTGGGTTGAGTTGCACTTTGGTTTGGTTTGGGTTGAGTTAAGATTTTTCAAACAACAAACATTGAGTTGAGTTGTTCAAATGTCTTCAACCCGATCAACCCAACCCATGAGCACACCTAATTATCCCACATGCCTATTTTATAATACGTATTTAGTACGGAGAGGGCTCACTATGTTAAACATCAAATGTAACAATTCCAACGTCATCAAAATCGTATGAATAAACATCGTTTATAATAACTAACTACTAAAACAATATCATAATTCAATAATTACGATACAAACAATAGAAAACTGCATTAAAATTCCAACACAACAAGCATGGGCGGGATTCATGTAGGACCCATGGGGTTGGGTGCCACCGCTTAATTGCCCCCACAATAGTGGAATTTTATCTAGGGCTCTCAATGATGCCAATGTTTTGATTCCATGTCTACCATCGTAGGGTATCGTTGCCGGAAAACCGAGATACTACAACAATATATCATAACTCAAATTTGATTTTTGATGGTTAGTAAAGGTGGAACACACATATCACAAATATAAATCTGAAATTAGATATGATTTACTAGTTTTTTTTTATTAACCTGGATATCCAACCCGTTATGCGAGCCGACTAATCCCAGAGCGATTACCTGTTTTGCGGGTAGCATGGAGTCACCGCATTTGAATCTCCGCGACCACAAAAGGATTTTCATTCCTTATTGGATTTGAACTTGAAACATTCAAACTTTTTTGACTATTTGAGCCAAACTTAAATCAATCAAACGCCACCCCTTGTGGTTAATTTACTAGTGTTTTTGTATTGTATTTTGTTATTTTATACTACAGTGATAATTTTGAGCCACTGTTGATATTCTTTTTTAGAACCCAAATCTGATAACAAAGGCAAGGCACCAAAAACCCGTTTGCAGCAAAAACAAGATGTTTAATTAAACAAAGGTCGAAGAAGAAACAACATTTCGAACACTGTTGTTAATAATATTACGTATAATTGATACATATATTATGATCAACCGTCGACTTGTCGTTTACAAATGACGAACAAGGTTTACTGTTAGAAGGTAAACCAGCTAATTATATCGGATCGGGATCGTTTTTTTTAAATAATAAAAAAAGAAAAATTTAAATAATTTTTTAATGATAAAGTAAAAATATAAATATTTTGTATGTAATGTGATTATATATTACATTATATAAAATATAATTCCAATTAAAATAAAAAAAATAAAAAAACAAATCATTTTCTCCCCAGATTCCCATCACCAGTGTCATCGTTTGTCCAATTTCGCCATTTCCCCTTGTCAATCGCCATTTGAAAAACCCCTTTCTCTTCAATCTGCAGGAAAGAAAAAAACCCCACAAATTCGCAACCTTAATCTCTCCATCCGATTCTCCCAAACCCTTCTCTCAAATTTCACGATCATTGCTTCATAATTCCAACCCCCAAACCCACAAATTCAATCCATTTTTATTCGTTTGAAATTACTCCTTCATTCCTAGATTGGTTGATGTGATATAATCTGACATAACCCTTTTTGGTGTTAGGGTTTTGTTGACAATCTTTTTACCGATTTTTATGATCAGATTTTCGGAGTAATTTTTTCAACTTTCCCAGATTTTTCTCTTCTTAGGGGTTGTTTCTAGGGTTCCTGAGAAAAAAAAAGAAGTTTTATCGAGGTTGACATTTTCAGGGCCACAATTGATAACAAGAACACCTTATATTTCTAATCATTGTTTAGACCTTTTAGCTAGTAATCTCTTCTGGGTATTACATACCCAATTAGTGATTTTTACATCTATGTGCAAATATATGTGTGTATGTATGTTTTTGGTATTTGAAACCTGTAATTGCTAGTTTTGGAGAGCAAAAAGTTCGTTTTTTTTGGGAAAGTTAGAAGTGAGGTTTTCTTGTATTAGGGGATTGATTCTTTTTTGATTTTTTTTCTGTGTTGCTGTGATTAGTTTTGTGTGTGGGGTTTCTTGGACTTAGTGTAGTTGAGTTAGTATTGAATAGTTGTGTATGGGAGAGCTTGAGGGATGGTCACAGATGGGGGGTGGTGGTGGTGGTGGTGGCCGCCTATTGCCAAATGGGTTACTGCCAAATGCAGGCCCATTGATAGAGAGTTTAGATTCAGAGAGATGGTTAAAGGCTGAAGAGAGGACAGCAGAGCTTATTACTTGCATTCAGCCAAACCAACCTTCCGAAGAACGAAGAAATGCGGTTGCTGATTATGTTCAGCGACTTATCATGAAGTGTTTCCCCTGTCAGGTGGTTCTCTTTTTCTTGATGTATGTATACATGGGTCAGGTTCAGGGAAAACGGTGAAGTTTTTCATATTTTTTGGGTTTTCCCTGGACCTCCCTTTCTCTCTCTCTCTCTCTCTCTATATATATATATATATATACTGTTTCTAACTTTCTTTTTTTATTTAAGTTAGGAAATGTCTGAATATTGATTAGTTTTCATATGTTATTTGTCAAACTTTGAATTTAGTGTTGATGTTGATTCAGCATAAGAATTGAGCATGACATTTAAGAAAGGTCAACGTTAAGTGGTGATGGGAACATAGTAGGATGGGCTTTATGTTCTTGAAGAGGGTGAAATTCATGCTCAATAAAGGAGTGAATTGTAGCCTCCAAATTTAAGTTGGAGGCACAATTTGTGTGCTAAAAGATTCAAATCTGGTAGAGCTATGGGTTTGAGTAACATGGAGTTCAGTGTTTGTCTATGGAGACCATAGTTTTTTTGGAAGTATCATTTATATATGGCAAATGCAACAAATAAACTCACATACCCTCCTCACATTTGGTGAGGTTCGAACCCTTTATCTGGTGGCTGGTGGGAGGCCAAAAGCCCGGATACCGCTAGGCAAAGGCCCTTTGGTTACAGAGAACATAGTTCTGGGCTTCTGGCCTTGATTTATGCTAATCATTCTCTAATTTGTCTTTTGTTGATGTTGGTTAACTTGGGTCAGCATCACAGTTCCATACATACATTAGTGAACTGATTTCTGAAAAGAATTTATTGATGCCCTCTTATTGCTGTTTCATTCCCCATTGTTGGACTCCATGCCCCTTTAGAGTTAGAGAGTTTGCTCTGTAACCGCAATACTATGAGATAGAATAATGAGGATTCCGTTAGCCAACAAAATGACACGAGTATATGGCGTGCCATGTGGTCTAGCTACATTTTGTTGCAAAACAGAGTACACAACATTGAGTTGAAGGATGGTGGGCCAGTAAGAGAATGTTATTGAGAATTTTTCCATCACATTTTTGTGTCATGACGTTGTCTGATTATCATAACAGGAGAGGGTTTTGATGTTCTTCTCTGACATGACACCTTGTGTTTGCTTCTTTACATATTTGTCTGTGGTATTACTTTGTGTCTAAGACTCGGTGAGAATGTAGCGTGTCAAGAGGTAATGGAAGGTAGAATGTAGATGGTTGTCCCAAGGTTCGGAAAAATGAAAACACGAGGCAAGGTGTACACCTCAACAATAAAACAGAAAAATTCATAGCGAACAACACACAATTTCTATTTATCAAACTATAAAGTCAGAGAAGTATTAAAGCTACTAGTTATAAGTCTTAAAAACATAAACTAATTCATTACATTTGTGTTTGGATGTGTTTTTTTTAGTCTAAATATGGTCGGTGAATGTAGTTTTTGTTTTGCTTTTATTGAGCTGAATGCCTTGTTCAGATGTGGGTGTTGTTTGTTTTTAATATTAAGTATCTAAATTAGTAAGTGGGGATCTTAGCAAGGTAGCAGCAGTAAGCCGTCTCTTCCCATTCGAAGGCCCCTTTTTCCCTTACTACCCCTTTTTTCTTATCGGCGACTCCAATCATTTCTCTACTTCCAGCCTGGGGAGGCAATTTTTGTGACTTTTTGAGACAATATTTTCATTCATTTTATTTGCTCATATGTTTCATTCATTGCTAAAAGCCGATGCAAAGCCTATTAACACACATACCTCTATTCAGTTATATTCATCTGTGCTAAAAAATCAAATTCCTTGCTCGAATGCAAAATTCACCACAAATATGCCTCATAATGCTCCTCATTCATACGCTTTAATCTCAGCAGCAGAGGCATAGCCTTAGAAACGGTTTTGGACCGTCTCACCTCGACCGTTTCTTAGAACATTGGGACATCCTACATCAAATAACTGCGGAAATCAAGAGTTCTACATGAGAAAAGATATATGAACATGATGTTTCCACATAGAATGGCACAATATCAGGTTCTGTCCGTTAACAGCTTAATGAGCTTAATGGGACTCACATCTTATTGATCAGCTATACATGACTATTTGGTAGTGGCTTATTAATGCAGATTTGGCTTATTCAGTAAGCTTCTAAGGGGGAGCTTTATGCGGAAAGCCAAGTCTTCAAAACCTGCCCCTTCCAATAAAAAAGCACGCTACTTGTATTTGTGTAAAAACCCTCCCAAACAAAAACCATACCAATTTATACCAATAGATTAATCTACACAAACAACTTTATCCATACTAGACTTAATGGAAAATCAACCAAACAGCTCTGTAGTCATGCTTGACTGAAGCTTTTGTATTCATCTATGGCATGTGTTCTAATTTTTGCAGCACTGAGATGCATGTGTCCCAAAGAAAACTGTCAAATCTAGTTCTTGTTTTACGTCTGATCTTTTTCTGCTTTACAGGTTTTTACGTTTGGGTCTGTACCTCTTAAAACATATTTACCTGATGGGGATATCGACTTAACAGCCTTCAGTAGTAATCCAAACTTGAAAGACTCGTGGGCCAGTGAGGTCCGTGATTTGTTGGAAACTGAAGAGAAGAACGAGAACGCTGAGTTTCATGTAAAGGAAGTTCAGTACATTCAAGCAGAAGTATGTTTATGTCCTAAGACACCTTTAATGTTTTTATGTATTATTTTCTGCAAGCTGATTTTGATATGCTTTTTTGACTTTCTATATGATAAATTGGTAACTAGACGTGTAGTCTAGTAAAACGGAAATCTAGTTTTAGGTTTCTGTTTTGCAGATCGTTGGAATAACATGTCATGATTTATTGTTATTGTACTTCCATTTTATGTTTTAAGGCTTATACATGCCTTTGGTATTCACATCATCAATGATTGTTTATTTATAGTTCACCTGAATGAGTTTCTGAGTGAAACAAAAAATGCATTTTTTCTGTCCCATCAAAACAGGCAGAGCGAAAATCAGGGAGATGGACAAGATTGGTAAATTACTAAACTACCCATGTCAAGTTAAAACCCTGAATTCTTCCACACTTCTTTCACCCGCCTACCTCATTCTCGTCGTTTTGTCTAGTTTTGTTTGCATATCAAACACACCCTAAAATGATTGTAACAGTTTGGGATATAACTAAGGCCTTGTCTTCTTGTAGATTGTCGAGGAATGGCTCATAGATGAGTAGATTGAGGCTGAGGGCATGTTTGCTAACAGCTTAACAAGCTTAATAGGACCCTCGGCTTATTTAGTCAAATATACATGATTGTTTGGTGGTGATTTAATGATATAGAAAGTGGCTTATTTGGTAAGCTTCTAGGGAGGGAGCTTTATGGAGAAAGCCAAGTTTTTCGACTTGCCCCCCAATTAAAAAAACGCTTCTTCCATCTATGTAATAATCCTCTAAATAAAAAACCCTCCAAATCCATACAGATAGATTATTCCACATAGCCAGCTTTATCCATACATGACTTACTGGAAAACCAACAAATCAGCCCCTCTTTACCTCTTTGCAATCTTTTGTCACTAATTTACCTCTTTGCAATTTTTTTTGTTACTAATTTATTTCAGCAAATCGATCCATACATGATTATGTGTTCATTGCTTTCGTTGTGTAATCATTGAGCTGCAGGTGAAGATTATAAAGTGTCTTGTGGAGAACATTGTGGTAGACATATCTTTTAACCAGCTTGGAGGACTTTGCACCCTTTGCTTTCTTGAGGAGGTTAGTTTAGTCTTTTTACTCATACGGGTAATGGGTAAGTTCTGTATTTACAACTTTTATGATAATAAACGTAATTTGTGCAGGTTGACAATTTGATAAACCAGAATCATTTGTTTAAGCGTAGCATTATACTGATCAAAGCATGGTGTTACTACGAGAGTCGTATATTGGGTGCTCATCATGGACTTATTTCCACTTATGCCCTTGAGACCTTGGTTCTTTACATATTCCATGTTTTCAACAATTCTTTTGCGGGCCCACTTGAGGTTGTCGGCGTTTATGAATATTTTCTTCTTTTTTACTAAAATACGCTTTTCCGGTTCTTTTTTACATATGAATGTTTTCATTGCACCTGCAGGTGCTTTACCGTTTCCTGGAGTTCTTCAGTAATTTCGATTGGGACAATTTCTGTGTTAGCTTGTGGGGCCCTGTACCAATAAGTTCACTTCCAGATGTAACCGGTAATAATTTTAACGTGATTTTTACTTGATATTCCCTCCGTTCCAAATAAACGTTTACTATGAAAAAGACACAGTTTTAGGAATGTGTGATCATTATACTTTTTAATTAATTAGATGACAATTTTACCCTTGATGATAAGGGTGTAAAGAATTTCTCACCTCATAATTGGGGATATAGATAGAAGTGGAAAGTAGACATTTTGTTCGTTTGGTTTGTGGGATTTGGATTTGGATTCCATTCCAATCTTGCATTTGCTTTAAAGGAAAGTTCAGAATTGAAATCATTGAAATCCCACAAACATGGGGTTTAGAAATCCCATGGGGATAGTTGGTATTTTGCGGGATTTCATAGGATTTGTTTGTAATAATGTTGTAAAATATGTTAAAAACACTTGTTTTTTAATAATCAATTAATTAAAAAGTAATTTAACTATTTTTATAATTTGTCTTTTTAGATTATTTATAAAGAATGGAATTCAATCCCATTCCAAATCCTACAAACCAAACACAACAAAGATTCCAAATCCTTACACAAAATCCAAATCCCTTAAAAAAAATTCCGTCAAACCAAGCAGGTGACTGCCATTTACCGAAACGCTTTCCCGGTAAGCTCTTACCTGGTACGAGTCAACACCCTCACTTACCTTGTAATATTCTAGTTCATGAAAACAACATCGAATGCAACAATTTACCCGGTGAGCGCTAATCAGGTAAGAGTCGCCATCCTCACTTGCTGGGTAAGACCCTCGGTCCTTGCTATAGCTCTTAGCGGGTAAGATTCTCGGTCCTTGACATGTTTATCCAGTTTGGTAAGCGACCCAGTAAGCGCTTACCGGGTAAGTGCTTGGTAAACGACCCCTTAGTTTTGAAAGTGGATGCTTGTTTTGGGACAAACTAAAATAGAAACGTGGACACTTCTTTGATAGTCTTGTAAGCAGTGTTGTATTTTCTGATGATGGGGATATTTTTACGACGTTACAGCGGAGCCACCTCGAAAAGACAGTGGAGAATTGCTGCTTAACAAAGTGTTTCTCGATGCTTGTAGCTCCGTGTATGCCGTTTTTCCTGGTGGTCAAGACAGTCAAGGGCAATCTTTCCTCTCGAAACATTGTAATGTTATCGATCCACTTCGTGTGAGTAATAATCTTGGGCGAAGTGTCAGTAAAGGTATTTATATTACTATTCTTGTTATTTTTGTAATTTTTCTTGAATGCATATTATTAGCTTTTCACCTTTTACGTTTTTGTGGGCCCCGTTTCCACAAATTCATAAAGGGTGGACGAGAAAAGGGTTAAACAAATGGATCCTATGGTCTTTTATTAGTACAATAGCAGACCGAAGACTTGTTGGACGGAAAATTAATAAAAAGCAAACGTAGGGTTAGTGTAAAGAATATCCCTAAGAATTACTCCTTCTGTCCCAAAATGATTGTGCACATTAAAAGGACACTGTTCTAGAAGTGTGTAATTATTACCCATTTTGATTTAGTAAATGACAATATTACCCTTGATAAGAGAGGGAGTAATGAATTTTTTCGACTCATAAATAAGGGTAGAATTGGAAAGTCTTCACTTGCTTTTAAAAGTGGACCCTTGTTTTGGAACAGACTAAAATAGAAAAATGTGGACGGTATGGAAGTAAACGAAAGTTAATGAGAAACAATATGATTACAAATATTAATTTAGTAAATGACAATATTACCCTCAATAACAGAGAGAGTAATAAATTTTAGTCTCGTAAATAAGGGTAGATTGGAAAGTCGTCACTTGCTTTTGAAATTGGACCCTTGTTTTGGAACGGACTAAAATAGAAACGTGGATGGTATGGAAGTAAACTGAAGTTAATGAGAAACAATATGAAGGGTTGCTTGAAAAAGAAACATTTTTACGAAGAGTAGTTCTATCTGGTAGTAAAATATTAAATTTACAGGTCTTTTTTTAATTTTATTTCATAACTGTTTCTAGTTTTGGACCCTTTACGCGCTTGATGCACAATGGGTCGTGTATATATATATATATATATATATTTATGCTTCGACTTTTTTAATTTTATTTTCATGTAGGTAATTTTTTCAGAATACGAAGTGCGTTTGCATTTGGGGCGAAAAGGCTGGCGAGATTGCTCGACTGCCCGAAAGAAAATCTCGTTGCAGAAGTAAACCAGTTTTTTACCAACACGTGGGACCGACATGGTAACGGTATTCGTCCTGATGCTCCCGTTATCGATTCCTTGATTTTGAAATTATCAATCGAAACTCAAATTAGCGATTCAAGTGGCAAAAAGTTAGAATCGGTCATTCCTGAGAGTGAGTTTGAAGAGATTCACTCTACCAATTTTCGGTCAGAAAGTCAACCTAAGACTGGTGTAGTTACCGTGGTTCCTCGTTCCCAAACCCCAAAGAGTTACGGAAACTTGAAGGAGGCTGCTCCGGTTCAGGCTGCAAATGCTAATAAGGGACAACGGAGTTTGAAATCCGGTCATTTGGTCAATGACATTCAACGGTCTCCGTTTGCTAGAACGCGATCGAGCCCTGAGTTAACCGATACTTACAAATATGTTCCTTTCCAAGGGACCCGTAATAAAGCACCCGAAACCGAAAATACCCCTCCGGAAACGCATAGCGGATCAAATAGTTACCATCGTAACAGAAGGAAGAATGTCGAACCTGAGCCATTGAATCGTGTTGGTCGATCTTCAGGCGACGAGCCTTCATCTGTACTCCATAATCCACCTCATCAAAGTTTCGAGACCCCTATTGAATCAAATATGGATTCGAATGTGTATCACCTGGAAGATATGCATCAAGAGGAACAAGATCTTGTGAATATGATGGCGTCTTCTGCATTTCATGGTTTCAACGGGCAGGTTCATATGCCGATGAATTTAGCATCCGGGCATTTACCGTTTCCAATCTCGCCATCTTTTCTAGCTTCGTTGGGATACACGCAACGGAATTTGGCCGGAATGGTTCCGACAAATATGTCGTTCGATCCTGCATTTTCCAGTATGCAGTTTCCTCAAGGTTTGGTTTCTCCACAACTAACTCATTACTTTTCTGGAGTCGGAATGACGCCAAACTCCGGAGATCCGGTTGACCCTCTTAACGAAAATCTTGGTTCTGTGGAAATGAACTCGGGTGATGACCACCATGACTTCTGGCGGGACCCAGATCGTGGGAATTCCGAACTCATTCCACAAGATGATAAACCTCAGTCATCGTCTACCGGGATGAATTACGTCCCACCCCCTCGTCGTGTAGGTGGGTCCGGTGGGTTAGTCCGAAATCAACAAAAGTATAACAAGGAGAAACGCGATCGATTGAGAGATAACAACAATCATTTGGATCATCCCCAATATCAAGAAAATAAAGGAAACGATGCTTATTCTGATGAAAGAACAACGAGTTCAAGATTCTCGTCTGCTGCCCACACTAATTCTCTAAGAAGTAAAACTTCCTCCGAGAGTTCTTGGGATGAATCGTCAACAGTCTCGAGGTCAACAAAGGAAAAAAGAGGAAAGAAAACCGTCATCCCTACAGAGTCATCTGACCGTATGCAATCCGAGGACAATGAGCAGGAGTGGGTCCCACCAACGAATTTGGGCTCCGAGTTGGTGGACAGAAGCTTGGAATCTCAAGCGGTTGGTCCTATTCATGTTCCTAGACCTCATTTACCCGGTATTGAACCGGCTCAAACAAGTGGTTCCGGTTCAGTAATTCCTATGGCTCCGATGATTATCGGTTCAAACCCTAGACAACGGATGATGGATAATTCTGGGGTTACACAACCCTTAACGTTCTATCCTACCGGGCCACCGGTTCCATTTCTCACGATGCTTCCATTTAATTACGTCCCATCTGAGAATGGAGGATCAGATGCATCCACTAGCCATTTCGGTGTGGATGAGGGTTTAGATAACGGTGATATTGGTCAGAGTTTTCATTCCGAAGGGCTCGAACAGTCTGACGATTTCAGTTTGAGAGGGGCTAATCCCGGTGAGACCCCGGATGAACCCAAGTCCGATATTCTTAATAGCGATTTTGCTAGCCATTGGCAGAATCTACAGTTTGGCCGATTTTGCCAAAGTCCGCTACACCATGGGCCCACGGTATATCCTTCTCCTGTCATGGTGCCACCGGTTTATTTGCAAGGTCGGGTCCCATGGGATGGTCCAGGAAGACCCCTGCCAAATATGAACTTAGTTACGCAGCTCATGAATTATGGACCACGGCTGGTTCCTGTTGCACCTCTTCAGTCCGTTCCCAATAGACCTCCTAACGTTTACCAACATTATGTGGAAGATATGCCGAGATATCGTAGTGGTACTGGAACATATCTACCAAATCCTGTAAGAAAATTTCTCCTTACCTCTTTAGAAATGTGTAATTATTACACTTTTTGATTAAGTAAATGACAAGTTTACCCTTGATAATTGAGGTAGTAATGAATTTCTTCATCTCGTAATTAAGGGCCAAATTGGAAAGTAGGCACATACTGTTATAGGGTCATGTTCGGGGGAAAACTACATAAAAAATGAAAAACTGAGGAACACCATGGTTACCATTCATCTGGACGGTATGCACATGTGCATACAAGTAATTTGTAAGGAATATGTCTGGTATTCACATGTGCATAACATGCACGTGCATAGAAACCAAGAAACAACTTCAATTATCTGTATGCGTGCATACCGTACCGATGAATGAATGGTTACCAAAGTGTTCCTTAGTTTTTCATTTCTTTCATTTCTTTGGGGGTTTCCCCTGACCCTCCCTCCACTGTTAAATTCTTCTAATTTGTTAACTTTGCTTCTTGTTTTAGAAGGTTGCTGTACGGGATCGTCATTCTTCAGGCTCTCGAAGGGGGAACTACAACTACGATAGAAGTGAAAATCATGTGGATAGAGAAGGTAACTGGAACGGTAATTCGAAATCACGTGGTTCTGGCCGCAACCATAGTCGTGGTCAAATGGATAAGTCAAACGCTAGGTTGGACCGGTTGGGTTCCGGTGTCGGAAGTCGGAGCGACAGGTCAATGGGTTCACACAGACATGATTCCTTTTCTACATACCAATCACAAAACGGGCCATCACATCCTAGCTCAAGTCAAAGTGGGCCCGCTAATGTGACGTATGGCATGTACCCTTTACCGGGTTCGAACCTGAGTGGAGTCCCATCTAATGGATCAAATGGTCCGGCTGTTGTGATGGTGTATCCATTTGAGCAAAATGCTGGTTTTTCTTCACACAGTGAGCAGCTCGAGTTTGGGTCGTTTGGTCCTGCGGGCTTTGCGGGTATGAATGAGCAATCACCGCGGGCTGAAGGAAGTCTTACCAGGGGGACGTTAGAGGAACATAGGTTATATGGGGCATCCGTTCAACGGGCTTCACCAGATCAGCCATCATCTCCCCATCATCAAAGGTAATTATTCTGCTTCAAGTTCTCTATTTTTTTTCAAGAATTATTATTGCTTAGTAGTAGTAACGATAGAAAAAGCCCAAGCCCGAAGTGCAGACCCAATAATCCGGTACCCAGGCCCAGGACCGGCCTTAAAGGCCGATCAGACCAACCTTTTTTTTCCAAGGCCCGGTTAAAATCTGGAAAACCCGGACTCGAAAAGCCTAATCAGGCCTGAAAAGCGTGGGTTTTTTTGCTTACTGAAAGACTCATCCAACAAAATAATATGTAAGCTCTGGCCTGGTTCGATGGGGTTTGAAGTGTTTCGAAGGGTGGAGACTAGTAAGCTAAATAAATATAAATCATTCTGCAGCTCATATAGGTTTCGGTGGTTTGGCTCATCAAAGGTCTGACCCATTAGGTTCACCAAGCTGCCAAGCTGAACTAAATTAGGATCAGTCATTAGTCTTCTTGGCTCAGCTTAGCTTGGGCTTTATTATGCTCGGCTGACCAAATTTTATTGATGAGCTGGCTAATTATCTTTGTGAAACCGTGGAACCATTCTGGGATGTAGAGCATGAAGGTGGCTTGGCGCTACTCTTTCTGGTCATAAAATCAGTGAAGAAATTAGGGCTGAAAGATGAATTGAAAGGGAAACCCCGGTGTGCCATAAAATTGGATTTGAATAAAGCCTACGACTGAGTGCATTGGGGTTTGGCATTTTTGGCACAACTTTGTCAAAAATACATTCTTGTAGCGGATATCTCATCTTTAGGATTAGATAGGAGGGAAGTTTTGTTGGGAACCCAACCGGGAACTGCACATAGGGTGTCATGTGTCCCTTTTCAAGATGCATATTCATCATGAATAACACATCCATGATGAATATGGAAGTGTTATTCATCAAGATTCACACATTCATGATGAATATGTTACAACATTCATGATGTATAACACATCCATAATATTCATGAATATGCCACTTGTCGCGCTATGGGCAGTTCCTGGGTTCTTTATCGATTTAACCTGCCTCTACATAGAAATAAGAAAATAAGATTGACATAAAATTCATAGATCTCCTGAATTTTTGGAATGAATACTAGAAACTCATGTTGCCTCTTTTCTTTTTGAGACCTATTTGTTTTGCACATTTATTATATTCCTTTGATGATTAGAGTAGATTGCAAAATTGTCCCTCGAGTTTGAGGAAACCTCTGGTTTTTGTCATTTGACTTTACAAATTACATCAGGCACGTTACACGGTTACAGAATTCGTCCCTGGTCCTAACGGGGTTTAAGTTTATTCCATTTAAGTGACCCATGTGCTAGTCACGTGAGGGCATTTTGGTTGTTTCCATTTTTTATAAATTTTTATTGTAAAAGCAATTGGCATTTGAAAAAAAATGTAAATCCATCTACTACTGCACCTCTAGCCATGCACCTCCATCTTGTTTTCTTCGGCTTCTGCCTCACGGTCGCTGTAAATCATGTGGCTGATGCTTTTCGATCTTTTTGGTGTAATGGGTTGATGAAAAAGGATTTTGATGTTCTTGTTTTTAGGGTTTCGTATCACAAATTTTTGGAACGAAGCAAAATGTTTGACTTTGTTCTTCATGTTCATTGGAGAAAGGGTTTGGGTGGTGTTTTGGGTATTTGATTTTGTTATAATTTTAGGGAGTAAATTGGAAGAACAAGGTGGACGGTGACGGAGGTGTTCTGGTGGTTGTGGTGGAGGCCGAAGGGTGTAGAGAGATTTTTTTTCTTGGAAAATGACCAAAAGGCTCTCATGTGACTAGCATGTGGGGGAACTTACTGGAGTAACTTAAATGCTCGTTAGGGCCAATGACCGAATCCGTAATGAAGACTGTCGTTTAAAAGTCAGAGTGTCAAAAAATTAGAGTTTTCGCAAACCACAAAGACGGTTTTTGTAGTTTACTCTATTTATTTTGTGGTCCCGTTCTTTTGATGAGAAGTAACCAATTAAACATATCATAAGTAGAGTCGCCCCCGGGGGCGGGGGTAAAGATGTGATATGGGTGTCATACATCATTTAATGCTTTCTGTATGCATGATCCCTCGAGTTATACATAAAGTCTTAGGAAACGACTCATGTGCCTTTCAATTCAGGATCCATATATTTGCTTCTTTTGAACCCGCCCCCTCCCCCAAATATGCACGCACAATAAAGTGGGGGCGATTTCTTTTGCGTCTGAAACTTGATGTATTTCCAATGTTGATGACAGGAGGGTATGATTATTTGTCTATCCATCTTGGTTGCTCAAAGTGTTGATAAAGCAAAGACATTGAGAGCTGCGGAAAACGTGGCTTTTGGGAACTAAAAATGATGAAGAAAAGAAAGCAGCAGCAGGGTCGTGGTGCCACCGGAGTCATCTCGTGCAAGTTCTTGATTTTCGCTCTCATGTGCTAGCGGCTGTGGTTCTAATGTAAAATGATGGTGGTGGAGGGCGATGGTCGTGGGAAGAGAAGTCTTGTTTTTCTGTTGGTGGCTAAAGGGTGGTGAGTGGTGGCCGCCACTGCCGCCGATATGTAGTCTTAACTCGTGTTACAAGGTCTTTTTTTTACCCTGTTATACAATTGTTACCCATGTTTTTACTGATGATGATGTTAGGGTTTTTAGTAAGGAAAGATTTGTACCAATTTCTATGGATCCTTTTGTCATGTAGCATTTACAGTTAATGATGATGATGATAGAAGTTTCACAATTTCTGTCATGTCTTTCTTTTCGTTTTTATTTGGGTAACTGTGGGTATCTTGGTCAGCTTACGCACACTGTACGAGTGTAACGAGCCAAGCTGAATAGCAAAATTATTCGAGTTTTGGTTCGATAAAAATAATATCAAGCTCGAGTTTGAGCATGATTAACTTTTTCATTATATAATTTGTGAATATGTAAATATGTTTGGCTCAAAATAATTTATATTAGGCTCAAATTGCTCGGTTTGACTCGACTCGACTCATAAAAGCTTGATTGAGCTTGTGAACGAGTCGAGTCGAACATTGGCGTTCTGGAGTTCAACATGTTAAGTTAAAGTGAAATTTATTCTGTATTTGAGATCAATTTGAGCTTGAGAATTATTAAGCTCGAGTAGCTCGTTAAAAACTCGAATAGTTTAAATCTTTACATATACACCGATCAACGAATGGCTTAGAGTCAACACAGGTGGATTCTAAAACTCGAATAGTTTAAATCTTTACATATACACCGATCAACGAATGGCTTAGAGTCAACACAGGTGGATTCTGGCTTTATCAGTTGTCTTTTGTTGTCATTATATGTGGGAAATATGTTTTCTTTCTTGGCTAAAGTTGACCTATTAGATGGATATTTTGCCATTGTTAATAAGCCAAAAAGTTGGTAAATTGACAATTATGCCCTTTTTGTTAGTGAGTTAGGGAAAACACAAGGTTTCATAGTTCTTTGGTATAATTGGTTTGGTATGTAGAGATGGGAAACATGTTAATAGGTCCGAGCTCTTAACGGGTTACTATCAGTCTCGGTTTTAATCAGTTATTAGACGAAAATATTCGGACTGCCAGTAAGAACATTTTCTACAGATTCTCTAAAACTTTTTTAAAACGGAGAATCAAGATTCAAAACCTTCAAAAGAATTGCATTCAACTTCAACAGTTTCTTATTTTGAAGATTATAATATTGATTATATTATTAAAATATTTTGTACGTTTAATAAATTTCATTTCTCTCTTAAACATTTGTTATTGGAAAAAGCTTGAAAAAAATGTAGGATCAAAATAGAGATTCTCTAAACTAGAGATTTTGATCTATATTATTCTCTAAAGGAACATGTTTATAAAGGTTTTAAGTTAAATATACAAGAATATTTAAGTAGGGTTGGTTCACGTGAGACCAGCCTGTTTTCGTAAGACCCATGAAACCATTTTTTTACACTTGAAACTTCACAATAAAACGCTGTGAAGGTAAAAAAAAAGCCGAATCTTCACAGCAAAAACACTGTGTTACCTTCACAGCGTTTTGCTGTGAAATTTCAAGTTTAAAAAAATAGTCTCATGGATCTCACGAAAACAGGCTGATCTCACGTGATCCCAAATCTATTTAAGTAATGTAGTTGATGTTAAAATTATAAAAATAGAGAATCTACTAGATTTAAGTATAATTCTATCTTAAATTTAAAATTTTGATTCTCTATTAATAAAAAATGATATCGAATATGTTGAAAATGTTCTTATATGAGAAATTCGTATATAAACCGATTTAGAAAAAACCCAACCAGTTGGATCTAACCGGTCCTTGATCAGTCAAAACCGGTCATAGGAAAAACCTAACCGTTGGGTCTCACCGGTCCTTGTTCAGTCAAAACCGGTCAAGCTGAAACTGATCTTAAGGCCCGGTTACATTTGCCCATCTCTATTGATCTGTACAAATATACCATAAAATGAATTCTACTTAGATTCATGAAACAAAAGCTACATACACACAACTTTTTACTAATTTACAACAGAAATATATGGCTGATTTGTTCCAATAAATTTGCTTATGTTCTTCCTCTTTGTCTTTTCAAAATGCCAAAATACCCACAAATCAAAATTTGTTGCAATTTCATGTTTACCATCCTCCCTCCTTGGATCTTTATTTCGAGCGCAAACCAGGAACGTTCTTGAGTCCCATTTTACCGAGGACAAGCCTGGAAATTGATGGTGGAATATCGAGCCCCATGCTTCGGCTAAACTCATTCGCAAGCTCCACGAGCCTCTGCTTGTCCTTGCCAACGGTCTTGTTGGAGTTATAATACCCCAACCACGCCTGATATGCAGATTCTTTGTTTTTCATATCCACATACGACAACGCTCTCTCCACCTAGTCAATTTGAAGTTAGTTTGTAGTCTAGGTGTACACAAAAATATAGATGACAGTTTCCAGGTTAGCCTACTAGAAGATCAAGGGTTCAAATCTCACCAAAGATGAGAAGTGTGTGTGTGAATATTTGACGTATATAAATATTATATAGTAAAAGAAAACCCAGATAATAACCATTTGGGGCAACTCAATTGGTAAAGATCTTGGGTTTGCTTGCTACAGATCACCAGTTCGAGTCCCCCTCAGGGCGCCCTGAGATTTTCTTGGCTGTTAACCTCAGGCCGCATGGGATTAGTGAATTTGAAGTTAGTTTGTAGTCAACGTGTACACAAAAACATAGACAAGGGTTCCAGGTTACTAATAGAGTCCAGCTTCCCCGGAGGTCAAAGGTTCAAACTTTATACAAATGGAGTGTGTGCGACTATTTGCCGTATATAAATATTATATAGTTAAAAGAACACAGATAATAACCCCTTGGGGTAACTCAATCCGTAAAGATCTTGGGTTTGCTTCCCAGTGATCACCGGTTCGAGTCCCCTCGGGCCCGTGGGATTAGTCGAGGTACACACAAGCTGGCATAGACACCTATGGTTGATGGTTATCAAAAACAAAAAAAACAAAGATAATGGTAAACATTTTGAAAAGGGCGTGGATCGGATTCCAGACCTTGCTTGATATACTACACCTGCTCTGAAAAAGGTAAACATTTTGAAAGGGCGTTGACCCGAATCCCTTTTTTGTAATGTACTTCCAAAACATTTGTTTCGGTACCTCAGATGTGACATCTCAAGCATTTAAGGGACTGGTTTACATATAAGAATGGATGACAATGTAACACTACCTTGATCTGATTCCTATTTTGTGTTACATACTTCTTTAGTCCAAATGTTTGAGATATAGCAACAAAACGAAAAATTTGGAAGTATCTCACACAAAATAAGAATCGGACCTCTGTTACTTTTTATGCAATTCTTTGAACAATTAAGGTTAAACGACCCATCACTTTTATATACATGATCAAATTTCAACGAGATAGGCCATAGGATAAAAGTGAGATACCTTGACAAGGGCCAAGTTCATATGAGAACCTGACATCTAACTATTCATGATGAATATTATGAACGGTTGGTTACTAGGTTCTCAAAATATTTACGATTCCCATTTCTTGACAAAATTGTATAGGACAGATAGTTATGTTTCCATAGGCCCTAAGAGTTCAGAATGCCTGCAGCTTACTACGAAAAAAATATAATCTAAAACTAACCTTTTTCTTTGTGTCCGGATCTATCAGAGGTAGCTCGGCTTTTGAAATAGGCAAATCCGCAAGGGTAGACAAGAAGAATTGCTCCCAGGGTGCTAGCAACAATATCCCTTGCCCTTCCTTACCTTTACGGCCAGTTCTTCCAAGCCGATGTATATACTGAGCTTTATCAGCAGGAAGGCCAACCTGCAAGTAAAATGTGCGAAGTAGATTTTCTCGTAAACTGAAAATGGAAGATTACTGCACTTTTTCATTAAAAAAGAAAATCCAAAATTTATGTTTGAATAAAATATAAATCACAGGTGGTGATTGAACATCTCTTGCTAATTTGGATACCTGGTAAAAAAGACTGAAAACAGTATATTTATATTATTGTCAATTTAAAGATTATAAAGTCATCGTTTTTTGGTGTAATTTGTTTGATTCAAAATTTTATTAAGATTCAAATATATCATATTTAAAATTAAATATGTATACTTATATTAGTTTTAATGATGGAGTAATTTTTTTGGTGTGGATAAAGATAATTATGGATTATTCTGTCGTATTAGTAGGGTTTAATGATTATTTTGTATTCAAACGTGTTTATCAGTTGATTATTAGTTAGTTTTATGGAGTTGAAAGAGCTTTAAAAAGAATATGTATGCAGTAATTAATTGTAAATTTAATTTAAGGAAATTATGCAGTACTAAGCAATATTTAATGTTAATAAGTTGTTTTTAAGACTTTCACCTAATGCTTTATAATATAGTATAGATATGTTGGAGCGGGACGCATTTACTTCAAACTGATTTGTGAAATATGAGTTGAGAAAGTGATCCATAGTTTCTAGCAAATCTTGCTGAAGTTGTAGGCATCAAGTATAAACCAATACCTGAATTACAAGTGTTACATCTGGATAATCGACTCCACGAGCAGACACATCAGAAGTTACCAGAATAAGACCCTTTGATTTCCGGAATTCGTCAGAAACTTGAGTCCTGTAACTTTGGGACTTTCTGGAATGTATTTCTCGGACGTTTAACTTCAGTTGACCAAGAAGGTCAGCCACCAATTTGGTAACCATGGCAGTCGTGCAAAACACCAGAACCTGCAAAAAGTATCATCAAATAGTTTACTTTAATGTAATAACATTCGAACAAAATGCAACCATAATTGAAATTATATATTGATCAAATGATAATAGCATCAGCCGTAGAGGCACCATGTAAGGGACTGGTTGGTTGCTTTTCCATCAAGGGGCTGTTTGGTTGATTTTCCATCAAGTCTTGTATGAATTAAGATGTCTGTGTGGATTAATCTGCTGTATAGATTATAAATGTTTTTGTTTGGGAAGGTTTTTATGTAAATGGAAGGAACGTGTTCTTTAATTCGAGGGGCAGTTTGGAAAAACGTGACTTTCTGCATAAAGCTTCCCCCTAGAAGCTTACTAAATAAGCCACTTTCTATATCATTAAGCCACTACCAAACAGTCATATATAGTTGACCGAATAAGTTGCGAGTCCCATTAAGCTCATTAAGCTGCTAACAAACAGGCCCTAAGTTCTGTGTGGATTAAGTTGTACGTATCGATTAAACTAACTTCCTGTTTGTTTGTTGTGCCAGATAAACTGTCTGATGATATGAATGACCCTTTTACCTTATTATTTGTTTTTTCATTGAGTTCATGTTTTTGTATTATATAATTCATGAATGATCTTGTTCATCAGTTCACCTTTTTTATCTTTCACTATTCTCATTAACAAAAGAATTTTCAAGAGTGAAGAAGCCATACGAGTCAAAAGATCATAAAGTTCATGGCAACCCGGAATTTGGTCAATCAAACCAACTATGGTCTTCCAACTTCTGGCACTAAAAAGACTTGGACTTCTACATTTCATTCTTAACTTATCTATATTATAGACACGGTGAATAGAAAAATGGAACAAAAATCAGAGACCATTCAATTGAAAACAGAGGCAACATGTTATTAGCTCCAGAACATGAAATGGACCTTATAGTCGGGATCATCCACGATATGATCTTTCAGAAGAGTGTACAGCAGTGAAAATTGCTTCTCCAATGGAGCAACTAGATGCTTTTGTTGGACCTTAAATAACATTAATAAAAACACAAAAATTTAATGAAATGGTGAATCAAATGGATTAGCATAAACTTCGGAAGAACAGCTAAAGATAATACCTGTGTGTGTGTCTCTTCACTACCTTCTTCAACTGTGTTGATATATTCATGATCTCTTTTCAAAGCAATATGACAGATTTGCCGAACCTTCACATCAGACAAAGCTTTCATGAGATATGGTTGACTTGCAAGAAATGGCATCACAAAAATTTATATGAAGAAATTACCACACTGAAATAAGAAAGAAACCTCAGGTGGGACAGTGGCTGAAAATAGGAGTGTCTGTCGCTGTTTTGGGACAGCTGCTATGATATTCTCGATATCTTTCCGGAATCCCATGTCCAATAAATGATCAGCTTCATCAAGAACTAAAACCTTAACGCCATTTATCCGATTGGCAAATCCAGAAGTGTTCATAATATGATCTTTAAGCCTTCCAGGAGTCGCTACAAGGATCTAAGTTTCAAGTGGGAAATCAAGCAATGTAAAAATGTGTTAGTTAACGAAGTATCTCAAAAACTGTAAAAATGTCAACTTTTGATGTAAAAATGTGTCCATTAGCCCTCAAGGATGCGTTTGGTACCTGGACGGGACTGGACAAACGAGAGTGAGGTAGGCGGGTGAAATAATCGTGAGAGGTCTTAGGGTAGTTTAGTAATTTACCAATAATGTCCCATATCAGTCCTATTTCTGTTCCACCTGTTTTGGTGGGAAAGAAAAAATGCATTTTTGTGCAACTCGGTTCCTCACATGTCCTAGTCTAAAGTCGCGCCAAATGGGGGACAACAAGTGTTTTCTTATTGTAACCAAAGTGTAATTGGCACAGCGGTATCCGGGTTACCATAGAGCCTATCCTCTCACGGTCAAGGGTTCAAACCTCACCAAAGGTGAAGAGTTTTTGTATCGTCATGTTCCGTCTTGTCCCAGGTACCAAACACACCCAATCAAACTATGCCTTGTCATTCTTTCTTTCAGGAAGTAGGCAGAGAATATATATGTTTGTTTTTACTTCCTTGGTGGTTAAATACCAATGGCGTTATCATCTTTTAAGATATACTAAGAAAGTAAAAGCAGATGCAGAGGATTAACCAAAGCAACAGGAACTGACCTGGCATGGGTTTGCCTGAATGCGCCTTTGTTCTGTAGCAAGTCTGGTGCCTCCAATAACAACTTGAACACCCACAGAAGGATGATACTTCAACAGTTTGTTAGCCTCCATTGCAGCCTGACTTGCAAGCTCTCTAGTAGGGCATATGATAAGGACTACAATTGGAGGCCACCTTTCATCACGGCCAACAGGTGGCAAATTCACAACTACTTCAATCGCTGGCAGCTGAAATCAAAAGTAACTTAAAAAAATTGCTGCCTTCCCAACCAAGTCCTATTTTGGTACCCCCTCCATCCCAACATAAATGTCCAACATGAAAAAGGCACATAGTAGCTACTAGACTTTTTAATCAACTAAATCACAATTTTACCCACAATAATATAGGGAGTAATGAATTTCTCCATCTCATAATTAAAGGTAAAATTGGAAAGTAGGCAATTAATCTTTAAAGTGGACACTTATTTTGATGCAAACTAAAATAGAAATGTGGTGACACTTATTTTGGGACAGTAGGAGTATAAAATAGTCCATTTTCCGAAAGTGTTAACTTCTATAAAAGGGCAAAATCTCCATTGAGAAGGGAATTGCTTCCTTGTTACAAACGTGTGATGTTATTTGATCAAATGAAGGTATTCAATTTTCTAATGCTAAGTAACAGTGTATTACCAGAAATGCAACAGTTTTTCCGGTACCTGTCCTAGCCTTGGCCAACACATCCTTCCCTACAAAAAAGAAACGGTTACAACAAAGATGGCTATAAATCAGAAATCCATAGATCAGACTCATTACTTCATCGTATTCATTGCAGATAAAGAGACGTCCATTTAGACTATTGAGCTCAAAACTGTTACTTTCAGAATGAAAATTCAAGCGGCCATTGTTATAACTTATAAGATTTATCAGTCACTTTTTTGTGTTACGAAGTTTAATTTAGTTTTCAAATACGATAAATTTAGTGTACCTGTGCCCATCGGAGGTAGAAAAATAGTTTGTTTTTACCTCAAAGGTCAGTGTACATTTTTTTTCTACAGCAACACTCTTTTTACATAAAACGGTAATTGACACGAATAATCATGACAAATTACTTAAAGTCTGACTCCTCGTTCCATGCTCGTATTTCTTTCGTAATACACAAACCTTTGAGAATAACAGGAAGTGTTGCCTCCTGTACAATGGTCATCTTCTCATATCCAGCATCCTTAATTGCTTTTAGAGACGAGGGTGAAACTGAACATTGATCAAACCTGTGGGAAATTCAGATGCATGTACTCAGAAATGACTCAAATTACTACCAACATTCTATAATGTATAAACCAAAAAAAAAAAAGACCCGGCACTTCCCACCTAAAGATAGGATGGGGGTGCGGGGAGGAAGATGTAGGTAGACCTAACCTCCGGCAAACAAGTCAGAGTGGCTGTTTTAAAGAACACTCTATAATGGATGAATTTCGAAAACCGAGGTTCTCTGGAAATAGGCCTAAACATGCAATGTTCTTCAACAAATGTAGTATACAAAGAGCATATACATCAAGAAATACACAAATAGAGTACAGGTTTATCATCACAAGGTTAATGATGAATAGCATAACAATATCAACAATAGGATGCAGGGGTGCTTCAAGGGAGTTTGGTAAGTGGGACATGACAGAACAAAAACTACTCCTACATTTGGCAACTGCGCTGAGTGAGACAAAAGTGCATTTTAAAATGGTAAGGACAATTTTAATCTTTCTATTACCAGAAAAAGAAATGAGTCACTATTTGTAAAACTAGAAACAAAGGCTAAAATCTAACACAAAATTTAACTCTTATGATCACAAATACAAGGCTTATTTAGCACACCTGGTCTCACTTAGATAAGATTCATTTCCATCAGCAGAAACTCTTGGCGAACTCGTGGCGCCATCCTCAATGTCCAATCCAGACAAAGAAAGTCCCTTCCCTAAAACCCCATCATCATCCTCTTCATCATCTTCGTACTCATCATTATCTTCTTCGTCACTGATCAATTCTTTATAATTATGCATTAATATCTTTTCTCCCTCTTCATCATCCACATCTTCTTCATCGGACATCATCAAACTTCCTGTTCCCATACTCTTAACACCTGTTCTCACTCCACCACCTCCTCCGCTCCCTCCACCACTCCCACCGAACCTATCATCTCTCCTATTCAACATGAATCGATCATTTTCTCTCTCTGGATCACGCACGTATCGCTCTTTCTCTTTAGGGAAGGAATCAAATGAACCCCAATTTCCATTTCCCCTATTTGAATCACGAGAAAAACTATCATTTCTTCTCCCTAGTTCACCTCCTAATCTCCCTCCCCCTCTACCACTCCCACCAAACCTATCATCTCTCCTATTCGACACAAATCGATCATCTTCTCTCTCTGTATCACGCCCGTATCGCTCTTTCTCTTTAGGAAATGAATCAAAATAGGAACCCCAATTTCCATCTTCCCTATTTGAATCACGAGAAAAACCATCATTTCTCCTCCCTATTTCACCCCCAAATCTCCCTCTTCCTCTCCCTCTACCTGCTAAGTTACTTGACCCCCTCCCTCCTCCTCGTCCATTTTCAAACCGATTTTCCCCCCTAGACACAGAACCCTCACTCCTGCTTCCAAATTCACCACCAAATCGCCCTCTTCCTCTTGAACTACCACCAAAAGAACCCCTATTTCCACCTCCTCTTGAACTACCACCGAAAGAACCCCTATTTCCACCTCCTCTTGAATTACCACCAAAAGTATCCCTATTTCCACCTCCTCTTGAGCTACCACCAAAAGAACCCCTACTCCCACCTCCTCTTGAGCTACCACCAAAAGAACCCCTACCCCCACCTCCTCTTTCTCTGTTACCATACCCTCCATTATAATCATCGGACCGCCTCTTCACAGCTGAACCACCCCTCCCACCTCTATCACTACTTCTCCAGTCATCACCGCCATCATCACTCTCGCTGTACTGACTTTTCTTAAACCAGCCACTAAGTTCAGCTTCATCCTCAATTAAGCCCTTGGCGGCCCTAATTTCAGATCCGTGTTTCGAAATGCTTGTCGAAATATGTAATCCCGGCTGGACTGTTGTCATCAATTTCGGAAATCCTAGGTTATCTGAAGATGATAGAGATTGAGAGCTTAGTCTATCAGGGAAAGCACGAGTGAAAACCGGACCGATTCTGGATAATGAGGAGTTGGTTTGCATGGTGATAAGAGTTACCGGAAGTGAAGAAGAATTGGGCAGATGGAATTGAGGCAGTGAAAAGAGATTAACTGGCATGCTACGGCTGAAACGGAAACCAAAATTTCCCGGCGATAGGTGGTGGTGGTGGCCGGAGAATTTCTAAAAGCGCAGGAGATAAGGTGAGAACCGAGAGAGGGTTTAGGCCCTCTAGAATGAGGGTTTAAGATTCTCGATGATGCAGGATAAGGATATTTATATGTTGCAGGGGATGAAACGATACGACGTCGTGCCATCTCTATGCAAGATAAAGTTCTTTGAGCAAACTACCATTTTCGTCCCTCTGTTAAAAAAACCGTTAAAAATTAAAAACTATATTATATAATATTTTACATTGATTTAATATAATATATACATCAATATATATATATATATATATATATATATCTCTGATACAAATCAATCTTAACCGTCCATTTAATCTAATGAATATTTAATTTGGTAATTATATCGATTGTTTAATATAAAACATTGGTTATAATTAATAAACTCTAATCATCTTTCATAGACATTCAAATCATAAAAAATGAACTTTCCACCATTTTCATAAAAATATTAATTGATTGGTTTGTAACTTTTCTATGGTTTGTATTTGATTTGTCACACACACACATACACACATAAAGAGAGTGGTTTAGATGAAAACCCCCAAAAAAATAAAAAAAATAAGAACACTCTAATAATCATCTATCTTGATGGTATGCACATGTACGTATAAATAATTGAAGTTTCTTTATTTTTCTGTATGGGTGCATGTTGTATGCATGTATATACTGGACAAATTGCTTACAAATTAGTTGTATGCATATATATATATGCATATCGTCCACCATCCAGATGAACGGTTATAGGGTGTTCCTTATTTTATTTTGTTGTTATTTTCCTTTGAACCTGATCTTATGTATATAACTCCAGGCTCCCACCCTGTAACCCCATCAGCCTTATTACCATCTCTGATCGGTTCCCCCTCCCACAAATTCATCGTCGACCGGCCACCAGACAACATTCCCCCTTCCATTTCCATTCCAGGTGAACACCATCACCACCCTCCAGTCGCATCCAGATCCACCTGTGTACCATCGATCTTCTTCCCTGCCCCTACCACTCTTACAGCCAACCACTTCAGAAACATTTGTCTGTGTTGATGAGCAAAAAATTAGTTATAAATAAGGTAAATCCTAGAATATTTTTTATGAAATTGATTGTTTGTATTTATTAAGTTAAATAATTGTTTTCAAGTTATACGGACATATTAAACTATTATAGAACTTATTAAAACACAGTAAAAAAACACATGTATATGTATTTAAAGACAAAAGGAACCCTTTAGTTATGACCATATGTAGACAATGATCAAAGATGGACCAAAATAATATGGTGAAAATTACAGCTAAAATTCTACAAAAACATCAAAGGAGAAAATCTACTCTTCCCCTTTTCTTATTTCCTTTAGGGTTGACGTTAACATATCGTCTTTTCTTAATTTACACACACACACACACACACACACACACACACATATATATATATATATAGGGGCCTAATCAAATAAAAACTGATTAGTTTGTGGTAACTGTGAGGTCCAATCTCAACTACAAATCAACGGATAAATTAGAAAATTAATAATTATGTTAGTTTGAGTTAAAATTATAATTACAGGGCATATTAGATATTTTTAAAAAACTCATTTCTCCTCTCTCCTCTTTCATCTCTCCGACCTCCAATCTCCGACCTCCGGTGAAATTGGTATCACAATGGATATCACATTGTGTATCTTTGTTTTTAAGGTTTGAGTTGGTATCATAGTTGGTATCACAATGGTACCACAATATATCACAATGAGTATCACATTGTGTATCTTTGTGATTACTTGGTACATGTCGGATTAATGTTCACCGGAGGCCGGAGATTGGAGGTCGGAGAGATGAAAGAGGAGAGAGGAGAGATGAGTTATTAAAAAATATCCAAAAAGCTCTCTAATTATAATTTTAACTCAAACTACCATAATTATTAATTTCCTAATATATCCGTTGATTTGTGGTTGAGAATGGATCTCACAGTTATCACAAACTAATCAGTTTTCCTTTGAATGAGCCTATATATATATATATATATATATATAGAGAGAGAGAGAGAGAGAGAGAGACTTGGGATCACGTGTTTTACACTTGAAACTTCACAGCAAAATGTTGTGAAGGTAACCTTCACAGTGTTTTTGCTGTGAAGGTTCGGCTTCTTTTACCTTCATGGCGTTTTGCTGTGAAGTTTTAAGTGTAAAAAAATGGTCTCATGGGTCTCACGAAAACATGTCGGTCTCACATGAACCGAACCCTATATATATATATATATATATATCTATACTATCTTATAAAACAAATTTAACAAAAGTCTTAAAGTCTTAAAATACTAAATGACCAAGATACCCTTTATATCACTTTTTCACCTTTTCATCCCCTCCTCTCCTCACATACACTCACCCCCTCACAACCGATTTTTTTTAAAATTAAAATTTTAAATTTACATTTTATACCCCTATAATTAGTTAATTAATTTACTTTATGTTCTTTACTTTTAAATGTTTCATTTTAAACATTTATCAAATTA